TGAAAGACATAGGTCTTTAAAACTACAAAATCTGAGGACATAAATTATTTTCACATTGCAAACTGGGGTACAAGACTCTTTGCAGGACTTACACAGGAGGTGCCAAAACTGGCTTGGCACCCCATGCCCCAATTTACATAAGAATATAAAAAGTTGGAGACTGAATATACAGAAATTTCTTTGGATGGTGTTACTATACAGAGTTAACCAGTGTGAAAATATGGGATAAAAGTTCCCATTCATAATAGCAACAAAGCATATATAATACACTGGAGAAAGCTTAAGAAGCATGTGCAAGATTTGTATGAAAAAAATTTACAATGCTACTAAGAGACAGAAAATAAAACCTAAGTAAATGGAAAGATTAGATACAACTCTTCTTGGTTTGGAAGATTTAATATGGAAAGATGCCAATTCTTCCAAAGTTATTTTTTAATTTTAATGCAATCTCAATTTTAAAAAAGGACTAAAATACTGATTTTAAAATTTGTAGGAAAATTAAATATAGAAGAGGTAGTTAGCCCTATAAAATACAAAATTATAATAAAATTCCATTAATTAAAGCAGCTTGGTATTAACAGTGATTTCATAGAATGATAGAACAATGTGGAGTTCAAAAATAGACTCAAGAGTTCTTGGAAATATAGTTTGTGGTTAAGGTTGTATTCAAATAATTCAAGAAAAGTTGTATATTTTAATAAATTGTATGGATACAAATGGCTAGCTACTTCAGAAATAAATGGAGTGGAAGCTAACCTTACACCTTCCATTCAAATCAGTTCTAAAAGGATGAAAGGTTTAAATGAACATAAAAGAAAATACAGATATACTAAAAGATAAACTATAAACAGGAAATATTTAAAATACATATAGCAAAGAGCTACTTTTTTAATATCTAAAAATTTCTTATACATCAATAAGAAAAAGAACAATATAAATATTAACTCAAGTCTTAAACAGTCATTCCTTAGAAAAGAAACTATAAATGGCTTTTAAAAACATGAAAACTTGATGAATAAGTTCTAGGATCTAACGTAGAACATGGTAACTATAGTTAACAGTATTGTAATATGTACTTGAAAGTTGCTAAGAGAGTAGGTCTTCAATGTTCTCACTACACACATATACAGAAAGGTTATTATATGAGTTGATAAAGATGTTAACTAAACTTATTGTAATCATTTCTCAATATATATGTGTATCAAATCATTATGTTGTACTCCTTAAATTTACAGTTATGTATCAGTTGTATATCAATAAAGTTGGAAAAATGTGAAAAACTGCTTATAATTACTGAATTTAAGACACAAAAAATGATGATAAAAAGGAAATACCATTTTTCCCTTAAAAATATTTGCAGAAATCTGAAAAATTGGTAACAGAGGTGTTCTCTAGGGTGGGAGGAAACGTATTATTTGTGGCATTTAAACTGTGGCCACCTCATTCAAGAGCTATTTCATAATTGCTTCCAAATTTTAAAATATGCATACATTAAATCTTATAGTTTAACATCTAGGAATATATCCTTCAATACACTTTCACATGGGCAAAATGACAACATTTTTAAACTGTATTAAATTTGGTGGGGTAACATTGATTAATAAAATTATATAGGTTTCAAGTGTGTATTTCTATATTACATCATCTATATATTGCATTGTTCAAAAATTTTTCGCTGCAGCGTTGTTCCAAATTGCATATTAGAAACAATTTAAATGTCCATCACTAGGGCATTTGCCGGATAAATACATAGTATCCCCTTGATTATCTCTTCCAGTTTCTTGGCTTTAAATACTGTATGGGTTGATATGATTCCTAAGTTTTATCTGCAGTTTAGTTCTCTTCCTGAATTCTCTTATCGAACTGCTATTTGGTATCTCCACTTGGATGTCATAATAGACATCTCCTACTCAACATATCCGAATTCTTTTTTTTTCATTTACATTTGACACTCAATTTTATATTAGTTTCATGTGTACAGCATAGTGATTAAACATTTGTGTAACTTACAAAGTGATCCCTCATATGAGTCTAGTACCCACCTGGCACCATTCATAGTTACTACAATATTATTGACAAAGTAGCTAAACTCTTGATCTTTCCCTCAAAGCTCACTTCCTTGACAGCCTTCCCCATCTCAGTAGGTAGCAAATTCCAGCCTTTTCCTTGCTTAGTCCAAAAGCCTTAGAGTCATCCTCTCTTTCTCTCACAACAGTTTTCAGTTGGTCAAGAAATTCTTTTTGCTCTACCTTGAAATTATATCCAGAATCCTACTACTTTTCACTACAGTGGACACTACTAACCTGGTCTACACAACCATCATGTCTTGCATGGATTATTACAATAACCAGTCATCCTACATCTATCTGTATTTGCCTCTGTATGATCTGTTCTCGTCAAAGCCACCAGAATGATTGTCTTAAAACATTGAATCAAATCAAATGCTATTCTGCCCAGAATTCTGCAATCCCTCCCATTTCACTCGTAGTAAAAGCCAGAGTCCCTACAATGGCCTGGAAGGACATCAAGAATCTGGTCCCTGCTAATTTTCTGACACCACTCCCTACTACTCTCCCTCTTCTTCATTCAACTGCAGCCACCTTGGCTTCTTTGATGCTTCTTGAATATGCTTGCATTCTCCTATCTTATGGCGTCTTTCTTTGCCTGGGCTGCTTTTTCCTTGGATATCTCCATGGCTAACTCCCTGACCTTGTCAGGTCTTTGCTCAAATGTCAGCTTTTCAGTGAGATTTACCCTGACCACTTTGTTGCCTTACATTTTCTTTATTACACAGCACGTACGCATATAAACTCTTATAACATGCTGTAGCCTTATTTGTTATGCTTACTGTAGTCTCTTTCACTGGCTAGAATGTAAACTTTGTTTTCTTTAATGATAGACCTTGCGGGTCTAGAATATGGTGAATGAATTAATAAATAAGCAATCTGCCAGACAAATTGAAAAACTCAAAGTATATGCAACTATAGCATTCTTTAAAAATAGATATATTTATATAAATGTAAATGCTTATAGATGCATGCAATATCGCTGGAAGACTGAAAGAAACTGGTAATAGTGGGTGTCTTTGGGGAAAACAGTACGAGGGTTGGGAAGGGAGGCACATTCTATCCCTTTAGAATGTGCACCTATCATTTTTTCAATTAAAAAAAAACTAGTTAAAAAATGCAATACACAGCTGAGCCTAATTCTGGAATTCAAAATTGTTTGTAAATCTTAACTTTTTGAGTTTCTTAGATGTTTAATGGTATTACCACTAGATGGCACATACTTACTGATAAATTCTTAGACACTCAGACACAGGCTTTTAAAAAAGCTCTTCAACCTATATAATTTTATTAACCAATGTCACCCCAATGAATCTAATTAAAAGGAAGCTCTACAGTTCCCCAACTCACCAAAGTTTACTTTAGCTATATATCGCATTGGTTTTTCTCAAGAAATTTCCTTAACTTCAATTGTTTAGTGCTGTATCAGCTTTTAGGCGATTTTTCACTATAAATTTTTACTTAACATCATTGTAGCTTTTGAGTTGCAGAAATGCCTTAAATCTGCAAATGCCAGCTTAGGTATCTTTCTAGTAATGTACATTTTCTAATTTCATTGAATTGTATCTGCCTGTCTTTTCATCTTTTTTCCTGTGAAATAACTTAATAAAATTTAAACATTCTGTGTACAAAAGTAGATTTTTGTTTGATTATATTGTTTTGCTGCTTTTATGCCACATAAATCAGTGTCCAGGATCACATGCAATTTAAAAACCACGTTCTGAATTCTTATATAATATGCAGAGAGATGCAGATAGGTACTGTAGAGAATACAAAAATGAAATATTATTTATTGCCTCCGGCTTCGAGGACCTTTTATTTTATGGGTAGGGACAGTCGTGAATGCAAATAACTAAAAAACAAGTCAGAATGTAATAAATAATTAAATAAAAATATTAAGTGTAATGGGAACCATATAGTTAATATTAATTTGGGGACTCAAGAATAAGGTGGAACTTGAGAAGAGCTTTAAATATATACTTTCATTCTCTGAATGAATTGAATATAAATGGTACATAGCTTTACATTTCTGTGTAAAGGGTGAATTATCTTATATATCTGAGATAAAGATAAGATCATTATATGTGATTGGTAAGTGTGGATTAATAGAATAAAACCTTTTTTTTTTGAAAAGAAAATGGTGACATGTATTAAAATTGTAACATTTAAAAACATTATAAAAACCTTTTTTGAGCAAGTTCTAAAATGACATTGGAAAATTATTGGTCCAGATATTATAGTCATTTTTAACCTAGAGAGATTCTTTGATTCTGTTTTTCTTTTCAAAATATATTTTTCCAAACACTAAATAAACATAGCGAAAGTGCTGTAGTCAAGCACAATAACATTTATCGAGTGCTTCCTATTCCAGAAAATTGCCATGTATTATTTCATTTAATACTCATAAGACCTTTTGATGTTTGCACTGTCATCCACGTTTTACAGATGAAGAAAGTGATGCACAGAAAGTTTAAGGAACCTGTATGAATATGCCCATTGTCTGCCATAACACCAAAACTACATGTGAATTGAATTAATTTTCTTACAATAAGAAACTTGGCTTTTCAATTTCTACTACTTCAGTATCATTGCTATGTTACTTAAAAAGGCATCAACATTATTCCAATAAAATGTATTAATATTGAGTACTGTGTTTCATTGGTAGTCTTAACTTTTTATAACTAAGTGTGATATAAATCATATTAAACTGTTACCTTAGTCAATTAAGAATCTGACCCTTTGGCTATTAACATTCAAAATGTACACAACTTTGCTTTATTCTAAAATAATAATATAATAATAATCAGATACCAAAGTCTAAGTTATATATTGTAGAATACTTAGATTTAGTTCCAGCTCAATAGCTAAATCAAGTGGATATTAAAACAAAATTATATATTTAAAACGAGTCTTATTATTTTTCTGTTTCTTTAGCCAGGAATATGTAAGAATAAAAAGAAGTGGTATAAAAGTGCACTAGAAGAAGCATACCTTCTTTATGGATGTTCTCCTGAGCAAAGACTGGAAATGTGCTGCTTATCGAAACAGGGTATATGACTTCTTAATTTTTTGCTACCCCACAATAAGGATTTTTTCAGATGCATGCTTTCCAAGTCGTGTTTGTATGTTTAAAAATATCTCTCTTTCTCTTCATATCTTTGTCCACCGAAAAATTTTTGTATGGATTAGTAGTATGTGTTTAACTCTCTGAAACTATTTTCAATGACTACACATACACTCTCTTTAAATGCAGGGGTTTTAATTAGCATTTCTGTCCCCTTCTTTGCTCTTAGATTATCTATGTAGGTCCTCTTGTGTATTTCAAAATTAGAAGCCATGGCTTTAAAATATATTCCTGGGGTGAAACTTTCACTTGGATATGCTCTATTATTTCAGAACAAAGTACAGTAAAACCTTGAATTGCGAGTAACGTGGTTTGCGAGGGCTCTGCGAGACAAGTAAACATTTCCTAATACATTTTAACATGGTAAATGAGCGATGTCTTGCAGTATGAGTAGTGTGTTTCCGGAATGAATTATGCTTGCAAACCAAGGTATTACTGTATTTTTTTTAAATTAAAGTTTATTGGGGTGACAATTGTTAGTAAAGTTACATAGGTTTCAGTTCTGTAATACATCATCTATATATCACATTGTATTTTCACCACCCAAAGTCAGAACTCAGTATTTTTCAAAATGTTTTATTTTTAAATAAATTCAAGGTAGAGATAAATGATAATCTTCAATTTTCTCTTTAGGTGAAAAAATATAATATTTCAGGTCGTTTTCAAAGGAAGTTCTCTTGATTCATAAAGATTGTGGTTTATGAGTAGTTTTTTAAATGAATTCATCATAAGGATTATAGTAGGTATAACATATTAAACTTAAAAAAATGATTATCATGTAAAAATGTTGAGTTTTCAATAAACTTATATATGTTTTTAAATGCTCTGGTTAGTAACCATAATAATTTTGTATTTCTCAAGTCCCCTTTTCACTTTATCACCTTAAGTTCTAAAACAGATTACTTTATGGGACGATCTGGCCTTTGTTGCTAACTGAATTTTAAAGTGGCAGTAATAGTTCTTCTCCTTTGGAAAAGTTTAATGTATATTTTTAAAAACTTATAGGTGAAAACATTTTATTTGAGAAAAAGTTTAAATATTAACCTAGCTACCTAAGTTTAGATTTTAAAACAAATAAGTAGGTTTGAAAAGAGTGGAAAAAGAATGACATTGAAAACTACTCTGGTTTACTCTGAGACCAGGAAAAGAGACATTTATTACCACAAATGTGATTTTGTTCCTTGTGCTTGAATATATAATGTCTCCATCATCTGCAGTAAATGTTGAACTCACTCTGTTGTCACGATGTGATTTTATGCTTTGCATGGACTATATACATTTCTCTGTGTAACCAAAATAAACTTTGATATATTTAGTTATTTTAGACATTGATACTTTAAAGTATATAGCCATTTACTTTTTAAAGTTACAGCACAGCCATTTCACACTAGCAGTAGACCCAGTCTCTCAGTAAGTTGTGGAACTATGTCTTCGCCATTGTTGTGTATGCCAGGAATTTATATCTGGGTCCTGTGGCACCCTGGCTTGTCCAGAGAGTCTGGAGAGTGGTTATTTCTCATTGGTTTTGCAGCAACAGATCATTTTCTAGTGATTTCTCAGAAAGTCTGCTGATTTTTGCATGCAGAATTTGATGTAATCCAGCCTGGTTATTGAGAACCTTGTGCCTAAAGACTTTCATTTTCTCTGAGGTACCCAAGATGGAGGGGTGTGGACAGACTTTCACGAGTTCAGTCTTTGCCATTATAGCCTCACTCACTTCACATTCACTGTTCACTACCTCCAAAAGAGACAATGTAATCCTTGTGTCTGCTTAGCTTCCAGGGCGATTTCTAATATGTGTTCAGCTTTTTAATGTGTTCAAAGTAGTTTTGATAGATGATTAGCTGTTATTCAGATATTTTACAAAAGGTGAGTAACTTAGAGGCAAACCTTTTATTTTATCCCCAGAAACTTGGAGGATTTCTTCACTCCAAAATTTCTTCCAACGCAGAAATAGTTACTACTAAGTTTTTTGGCCTCAATTCTTCCTACCCTGCAAAAATTAGCACACTATTATGTTTGATGCAACTCTTTCATTGTTGAAATCTGTAGGGTCAGTAAATGATATGTAAATATAGACCCAGTCCTACTGTGACAAATTTCAAAGTCCTATCCACATGATTTCGTTGTCCTGTTTTTTTGTTGTATTAACTATTACTCCAAATTTGTGATTCTTCTGCTGGTGCTAGAAAGCTTTCTCTTATATAGGTACATTCATTGCAATTGTATTTTTATACTTCAGCTGTAGGATTTTGTATTATTTGTAGGATTAATATTTTCTTACATGCTCTGCATTTTAGAATGGATGTCCCTATCCCTACCTTTTTTTTCAGAATTTTTTTTTAAATAGACTTTATCTTTCAGAGCAGTTTTAAGTTCATAGCAAAATTAAGCAGAAAGTACAGAGTTCCCATATGCTCCCTGGCCCTCCACATACAACCTCCACCACTATCAACATCCCACACCACAGCGGTACATTTGTCACAATCTATGAACCAACACTGACACATCATTATCCCCCAAAGTCCATAGTTTGCCTTAGGGTTCACTCTTTGTGTTGCACATTCTATGGGTTTGGACAAATGTATAATGACATGTATTGACAGTTACGGTATCACACAGAATTGTCTCACTGATATAAAAATCCCCAGTGTTCCACCTATTCATTCATTCCTCCCCTTTCCCACCCTTCGGCCAACCCCTGATCTATAGTTTTGTCTTTTCCAGAATGTCATATATTTGGACTCATACAGGATATAGCCTTTTCAGATGGCTTCTTTCACTTAGTAATATGCGTTTAAGTTTCCCTCATGTCTTTGTAGCTTTTATTTATTTTTTTTTAACACTGGATAATATTCCATTGTCTGCATGTACCACAGTTTGTATATCCATTCACCTACTGAAGGGCATGTTGGCTGTTTCCAAGTTTTGACAATTGTGAGTAAAGTTACTATAAACATCTGTATATAGATTTGTGTGTGGACATCAGTTTTCAACTCCTTTCCTTTGAGTAAATACCAAGGAGCACAACTGCTGAATCATATGGTAAAAGTACTTTTAATTTTATAAGAAACTGCCAAACTACCTTCCAAAGTGGCTGTGCCGTTTTGCATTCTCACCGGCAGTGAATGGTATTTCCTAGTGCTCCTCATCCTCACCTGCATTTGGTGTTGTTAGTGTTCTGGATTTTGGTCCTTCTATTAGGTGAACAGTGGTATCTCATTGTTTCAATTTGCAATCCTATAATGGTATATGATGAACATCCTTTCGTGTGCTTGTTGACATCTGTAAATCTTTGGTGAGGTGTCTATTCACTGCCCATTTTTAAATTAAGTTGTTTCTTTTCTTATTGTTGAGTTTTAAGAGTTCTTTGTATATCAGTCCTTTATTAGATATGTATTTTGCAAATATTTTTCACCACTCTCTGGATTATCTTCTCATTCTCTTGACGCTGTCCTTGCAGAGCAGAAGTTATTTTAATTTTAATGAATCCAGCTTATCATTTATTTCTTTCATAGACCTTGCCTATGGTGTTGTATCTAAAAAGTCATTAGCCTACCCCCGGTCTTCTAGGTTTTCTCCTATGTTACCCTCCAGCAGTTTTATAGTTATGCATTTTAAATTTAGATGTGTAATCCATTTTGAGTTACTTTTTTATGTAATTCAAATGGTGTAAGATCTGTGTCTAGATTCAGCTTTCAGGCTTGTGGATATCTATTTGTTCCAACACCATTTGTTGAAAATACCTTTTTCCACTTTATTGTTTTTGCTTCTTTGTCAAAGATCAATTGACCAAATTTATTTCTTGGCTCGCTAATCTGTTTCATTTGTCTATTTTCTATTCTTTTCCTAATACTCACTGTCTTGATTATTATAGCTTTATAGTAAGGCTTACAGTCAGTCATCCAGCTTTGTCATCTTCAGCACTGCGTTAACTATCCTGGGTCTTTGCCTCTCTATATAAACTTGAGAATCAGCTTGTTAATAGCCACAAAATAACTTGCTGGGATTTTTGTTGTGATTGCATTGAATCTACAGATCAAGTGGGAAAGAACTGACATCTTGATGGTATTGAGGCTTCCTATCTATGAACATGGACTATATCTCCGTTTATGTAGTTCTTTGTTCATCAGAATTTTTCGTTTTCCTCATATAGATCTTGTCCATATTTTGTTAGATTTGTGCCTGCCTATTTCGTTTTGGGGGATGCTAGTAAATGATAATATGTTTTTAAATTTTAGTTTCCACTTGTTCATTGCTGGTGAATAGGAAAGTGATTGACTTTTGTGTATTAACCTTGTATCCTGCAAACTTGCTATAATCACTTATGTGTTCCAGGAGAGTGTGTGTGTGTGTGTGTGTGTGTGTGTGTGTGTGTGTGTGTATTTTCTACATAGATGATGATGTCATCTGTGAACAAAGTCAGTTTTATTTCTTTCTTCCCAATCTGTAACTTTGTTCTTTTCTTGTCTTATTGTATTAGCTAGGAGTTCCAGTACAATATTGAAAAGAGTACTGGGAGCACATTCTTGACTTGTTCCTGATCTTAGTGGGAAAGCTTCAAGTTTCTCACCATGATGTATGATGTTAACTATGGGTTTTTTGTAGTTCTTCTTTTCAAGTTGAGGAAATTTCACTCTGTTCCTACTTTGCTGAGATTTTTTATCATTAATGGGTGTTATATTTTGTTAAGCACTTTACCTGCATCTATTGATATGATCATGTGAGTTTTCTTCTTTAGTCTGTTGATGTCATGAATTATATTAATTGATTTTGAATGTTGAACCAGCCTTGTATACCTAGGATAAATCCCACTTGGTTGTGGTGCATAATTGTTTTTATATATTATTGGACTTGATTTGCTAATATTTTGTTGAGAATTTTTCCACTATGCTCACAAGAGATATTGCTCTATAGTTTTCCTG